TGTATAAGAGACAGCTCTCTCTCTCTCTCTCTCCCCCTTCTCCCCCCCCCTCTCTCTCTCTCTCTCTCTCTCTCTCTCTCTCGTGCGCAATAAATCTTCCACCGTCTCCACGTATTCGCCTCCATCCTCTTTCCACCATCTCCCCCTTCCTCCTTGCAACTCCCCTTGTCCTACGCGATATATAAGCATCGTGAAGCACATCTGCCAAACCCCTGCGATCCAGTACTAAGCACAATCATACTGACGTCATACTGACAGAGGAGAGACTCAATAGCAGCCGGCGTTAGGAGCATTGAGAAGGAGATAAATAGACGTTTATCCACTAAAAAAGAGTAACTGTTGGAAGAAGTGCAATCTCCACTAAAAAAGAGTAACTGTTGGAAGAAATGCAATCTCCCCCTCTCCTCCTGTACGGATCTCCTCCTCTTCCTCGTTACAAGCAGCGCCGTCCAGCATCCGACTCGGGCTTCGAATACCGTCAAATACAGTCTTAAGCGCTAGCTCTGATGCTGCCTCAGTCCGGTGTGCGAAACCGGCTCCAAATAAAACCAGATGTAAATAAAAAAGAGACAATTATTTATCGATAGCTCCTATTTTGCGCCTTGCCTCTGGAGGAGAGAAGAGGAAGAAGATGGGGAAAACAGCAGGGTGAAAGAGGAGAACCGCCTTCTCACAATATCCATCTCCCTCCTTCCTCTCTGCAGTTCCCACTTACCCATCATTCTGTTTGCCGTCCGCAGCCAAGATATTCTTCCGTTTCGCTCTTTCCACCTTCATCTGTCTACTGACCTCTACTTCCGCTCTACTCTCTCTCTCTCTCTCTCTCTCTCTCTCTCTCTCTCTCTCTCTCTCTCTCTCTCTCTCTCTCTACCCCCCCCGCGCCCCCTCCTTCCCTCCATCCCTCCACCGGGCCCCCCCGGGACACCCGGCTGTGCGCTATTCCTTGCTTGCCTACCTTCATATGTCGGGGGATTGAAGAAAATCCCGCCACCTTTGACCATCCGCGCCGTACCCGAATGTATGCTCATGCGGTAATGAGTAAGGCTACCCGTGAGAGGTTCCCGCCACTCCAGATTTTCGATGACTGTCGGAGGCGCGCTGGACAGGGGGTGATCTGACAAAAAGCAGAGAAGAACGGAAGCTGGAGGTATCAAAACCCAAAAGCCGGGGTAGAGAAAGGGAACGGATGTAGCGACTCCCTGACGAGTTAGCGGAACGCTACTGCTCACGAGTTTTTTTTTTCCCAGTTCCTTCTCTTTCTCTGTGTTTCTTCTCATATGTCTGCGTGTTGTCATGTTCGCTATTCACAACTCCAGAAAGAAAAGCATGACTGTTTCGTCGAACTTTCACGGTTTCACCGACGTGTGCGTGTGAGTGTGTGTGAGAGCCGTGCAGAGTGTGGCCAGGGACGGCAAACCGGGGGTACAATTCAGAAAAGAAGTCGAAAGCGGGAGTGGCACTGCGGAGCGTACGTCCGAGTGTACCGGTGGAGTGTATCCTCAGATAAGCGTGCGCGAGAGGCACTTCGGAGTGTACCCATCCGGTTAAACATGGCGAGTGTCCCGATCTCGATTTGGTTTTAGACATAGCACAAGATTGCGAGTTCTTGTATTCCTCCCGTGCAGAGAGGGCCAAACTTTCATGTCTGCGCCACGTCTGCGTCTTAGCCTCTTAGGCACACGGCACTCTCTCTCTCTCTCTCTCTCTCTCTCTCTCTCTCTCTCTCTCTCTCTCTCTCTCTCTCGTACACACACACACACACACACACACACACACACACACACCCGCGCGCACGCACGCACGCACGCACACCTCGGAAAAGGAATGCACGCAAACAAACTACGCACACGCGAGCGTACAAACAAGAAAGACCACATCCATAAGATAGATAGCAGAAGGATAACTTCCGCAATTGAATTCCGACACATGGGGAGCTTCCAGGAGCGCAAAAAAAGAACTTGAAGGAGAGAGGAACAGCGAACCTTGCGAGAGAAGACAACTGGCGGCAAGCGAGGAACGCGCGAGATAAGAGATGGAAGAAAGCAAGAGAAGGCAGAAAACAATACAAAAGAAGTCACCCTGCGTGAAGTGCCCGCCTGGCCAGACCACAGGCCCATCTCGTTCAGAGCGTGGGGAGCTTCATCTGCTGGAAATTGGGTCCACCGTCCCTCATAATAATTACAGATATTCGTCCCGAAGGAAGTTCAAGGCTGTTCATGCAGCCCGCCTGGCCAGACCACACAGATTTCTTCACCTATTAGGGCGACAGATACTTAGTTCTACGCTAGCCTGCGTGACTTCAAGAGATAGAACTGACAGGTTAATTCAGGTAAGATCATTAGGTGGGGAACAGAGAGTACACTACAGTATACTCCATGGGCTACGAGTTACGTAAAGACATGGTGGCCATTGAAGCTTCATGATTCAAAACAGTCCAAGGTGGGCGGGGCCGCTCTCTCTCTCTCTCTGTGGCCCCCCTCAGTTCCGGTTACTCTCTCTCTCTCTCTCTCTCTCTCTCTCTCTCTCTCTCTCTCTCTCTCCATCAAGTCTCTGTACCGATGAATTTCCCAATCCCGCCTCCTCCCCTACCCGATCTTGCCAAACGATTTTGTTTGGAGTCACCCGATCTTGCCCCATGATCTTGTTTCTGTGCACACAATCACTAATTTCGCCACGGTCGCCATCGCCTGTGCACACAAGCACTAATTTCGCCTGTTTGGAGTCTGACCTGTGAAAATCATCCTCTCTAATCATCCGATCTACATCATTTTTTAATGAGTACCTACCCTATGTCCAGCTTTCTCAATCTCACCATTACCGCTTTCCTGCCCACCAATATGTCGATCCTGAAGACCCTCTTGTTGAGCTTCCTGATGATCTCCACAATGTTCACCCTTTTCACCGTTCTCCATCTGACTTATACTTTGTTCACACTTTTCAGTGCCCCCGGCTTCTACAGCGCCTTTCTCTCTGGATACCTCACCATCACCGTTTTGAGGCGAATAATCCTGATGGCACTGCCCTATCACACAGGCCCATCTCAGTTCACCTCCACAGTTCTCGCATCACAGGTTATACTCCATAGGCATCCCACCATTGTAGCGACATTCTACAAAGTCCTATCGAGGTTGGACTGGCCATGTAGTGGAAAGGCCTCGTTCATGTGGCCTTGATTGTGAGCTAAAACCAAAGCAAAAGATCGAGAAAAGCCGTGACTTCAGGGGCGCGCTGTGAAAACTGGGAATATACCCCCCCTAGGGTTCCAAGAGTAAGAAAACAGGAAAACTAAAAAAGAACGAGTCTTCAAGACGAGCAAATGCTCCCGTTGTCAACAGCTCACACTATACTATTACTCCGCTATCCATACTCGACCCTAAAATTGAAGGAAGTACAGAGCAATCAAATGTAAGAAAGGGAAAACAACATACCCTCCAGGTCCCTCCGCATGTGACATGTTGTCGGCGGGCGCAGTGTCCCCGCCCTCCGCGGCGTACCAGATACCAGCTCATGGACTCACGCAGGATGCCAGACTCTGCACTCCACTGGGCTTTCCAATTGGACCACGCAGGCTCGGCGCCTGCTGTGCAGCAGATCATAACAGGCATGTGGCCGTGGTAGCTGCTGGGCTCGCCCAGGTAAGCGGAGGTAGAGGGACCGCGGTCTTCTCTACTGCGCACCGATTCCCTCTGGCCGGATTATGGGATAGGTACAGGGGTTATAAAAAGGGAAAAATTAAGAAGAAGATGGGAAGAAAAATAAAACAAAGGAAAAGAAGGGGAATGAAAATCGTGCATTTATCACATGCGTCCGAACTTGGACCGCTGCCTTTAGACGTCAAATCAGGCGGTTCTTAATTGTAGCAGCGCTAGGGTCCTTTTCTCTTATCAGTCCTCATCTTGCTAGCCTTACGAATTCTAGTCCCCGCCCAGTCACGACGCAGGGGAACCAACGGCCCATTTTCGAACCTTGGCTGCAGACTGGCAGCCAGACCCTTCGCGTTCCACTCATTTCCGACGTGACCGACTGAGCGCTGCATAGCGGGACCCCCGCGGCCGCTTTGGTAGGAGGCTTATCACCTTCCTTGAAAGGTCATAAGCCCCCTCCTTGCCATCGGACACGGGCACCCATTGGTGGTAGTCCGTAGGCACTTTTTGAAGGAGGTAAAAGGGTGGTCTGTATCCCATTATGGGACTGCTAGTCTGTGGTTTTCCTTTTAAGGAAAAGGGAAAACGACTGAGTGTACACCTGGATGTTAGCAGTTAGGAAACCAAGAAGGTCCGAATTTCTTTGTTTTCTATTGTACAATGTTTTATATTCTACTTACACATGAAGATCGCGGTGCTCTTCGAATCCTATAAAGCTGGTAGCTGCCAAGTTATTTTGGGTGTTTGTCGGGCGGTAACTCGTACGAGCTCCTGCTGGTGCCACGCTAATTGGGGTAGCAGGGTGGAGCGGAGAGGCGCTCAGGCTATAACTATCTGCGCCTGTGCACATGAGGCTGGTTCTAATCACTTCGAAAGTGCTTGGCTATGGCCTACCGTAATGGCCTGCATGGCTTTAGGCCAAAGTACCTCCAGTTCCTCTGGAGGTGGGAGCGGATGGCAGGAGATGGGCCTGTGGTGACAGCCGTCTTGGATTACAGCCACTGTAACCTGGAGGCGAGGCTAAAGATAAACGTGGAGGGAGCTAAAGACGAGGAGATGAGGGCGGACCAGGGACTACAGGCGGCCATCACAGAGGGCGAGAACCGAGCCAAGAGGAGGTACAGGAGAGACGGGATCACAGAGGAGGTCAAGGTGACTGTCTCGTACCTAGAGGCAGAATCCTCAGCTGGTACTACGGAGAGGGAACAGGAAACCCGGGACACTGAGGCAGAGAGCGAAGCGAGTGACTTGGACGTGGAAACCCAGTCCTGGCACGGACTGGACCAATGGCATCGGGACCATGTGCTAGCTGAAGCGGTGGAGGATGACCCGAAGGCCAGCTCGCGAAGGGCATGAGACTAGGACCGCCACTCAGTCACAGAGGGGACGGACACGATTGGTGAGAGAGAGAGAGAGTTACGTCGTGTGTTCGAAATCGTCTCAGCTCCGTGTCGGCGTGTTCGGGTCGTGGTTTGAACACGCTCGGGCTCGTATGGTGGCCCCAGACACACAGCTCTTCTGGGGAGGGTAAGCAGTGAGCTTGAGGACGCGCGACGGTTACGGAAGGACGGCGCCATGAGACGGGAGGTGTACATACTCGAAGAGGTGAGTGGGAAGAAGGTCAGCGCAGAGATGATCGCGCGGTGGCTGATGTCAAGAAGAATTGTGAGAAGTCTCGTTATCAATAGGGGAAGAAGGGGGACGACGAGAGGGAGGGAGAGCAGCACAGACGGGGGAGAGGTATGACTCCGTATGAGTGAAGACGAGCGCTGCCCAATGTGCGTGACGCCATCAGGTTTCTCTCAGTCCATGAAGCCTGTGTCTATCGGCCCGACCTCTGTCGAAGAGCGCTCCAGTGCATATATACTGGTGAAGTGTACACAAAGAGAACCAGCTCAATGGCGAAGCGCGTGCAAAAGGATTCCGCAAGATCGTGAGCTGCTTCAGGGGGCGACTTCCCCTAATCAGTGCCGTAACCCCGTTCACCGTTCACGGGGGCTGTGAACGGGGACCGGTCACCGTTCACGGAAATCGTGAACGCCGGTAGTTCACGGAGTTCACGGTGAGTGGGAACTCCGTTTGTTTTTTTTTTTTGCCTGGTAGGGGTACATTTTTTTTTATAGACGTGTGGGGACTGTCGAGGGGCACCTGCCCATATTTTTTATTTTATTTTTTTCGATCGGAATGTATTTTTTTTTATTTTTGAAAAATAATAATAATAATAATAATAATAATAAAAAACAAAAGGGGGGGCCATATTCACAGAGAGAGGCCCCAGTCGTTGTTTCGGTGGTGCAATAAAGCACCGACCACGGCCGCCATTCTGCACAGAGAGAGAGAGAGAGAGAGAGAGAGAGAGAGAGAGAGAGAGAGAGAGAGAGAGAGAGAGAGAGAGAGAGAGAGAGAGAGAGAGAGAG